TTTTTTTTTTGCCGCCATTTTCCAAGTGAATATTGTAAAGGCACACCACAATGACGCCATTGTTAAGGTGATCACGTGAAAGCAGCAGGCAAACCAGAACGCCTTTCAACGGTCATTAGTGAAAATTGTTCTCCGTTATTTACTCGTCCGGGTCTTTTTTTTCTGATATTTTATTTCCGTTTCTTTTATTCAAACACGCAATTCCTTCAACTTATATCTATTGACAAATAATCTATCTCTCCTCTCTCTGTATCTCTACCGCCCTCTCCCCCATGCCAAGCCCTCCCACTCTTTCTCTATCATGACTCCCACTCTCTCTTTCCATCTCGCTCTTTTTCTGTCTCTCCTGCCCCCCTCTCACTCTTCATTCATTTTTTCCTCTCTCTTTCCTCCCCTACATTTGTTTCCATTCTTTCCCCCCTTTTGTTTCTATCTCTCTTTCCTCTCTCCTTTATCACCTTCTCTCTCAAACTCTCTCTACATTCTCTCTCACCTCGTCCCTCTTCTTTTTCTCCTTTACTCTATCGACATTTCCTTTTCTACTCACTTACGTCATAGATACCCCCTCTCTTTTCTCTGTGTACCCTTTCCGTTTGCGAGCTTTTTACTTCCTCTCATTCTCCCACTCTCTCTCTCTCTCTCTCTCTCTCTCTCTCCTCCCCTCCCCCTCTTTCTGTCGCATCTTAAATGTCCTAATTCGATAGGAAAAGGGGAAAATTAAACAAAATATATATTATTTCTTGGAGAGGTGCGCTTCTGTGGAAAAGCCAACAAAAATTCTTCGTTTCAGTTTATTGCAAAAATAACTTCCGCATTATGTGATTAGTATATCTATTTCATTTCTCTCCTCCTACTCCTCACCCCCCCTCTCTCTCTCTCTCTCTCTCTCTCTTTATCTCTCTCTCAATCTTTGTCTGCATATCTCGCTCACCTTTTTATATTTTTCTTATCATTGTTCACTCTATTCAAGTTACAAGAGCCACACAAGGCAAATGGTTATAAAACAGAGATGTTGTAAGGACGTTCAGGGAGAGAACAAAGGTTGCATATTATGATTATAGGTAGGATAGATAACGGTTGGGCTTTGATTTGAAAAGGTTAAGATACTAGTGATTATGGAAGCACCCTCTCGGGAGTCCGTTCTACACCGCAATAGTTCTGGGAAATAATCTATCTGATTACTGCTCACCAATGTAATGTTACGCCAATAAGTATGGATCGAGTGTGTATATGTGGCATGATGGGTAAAGATGCTGTAAAGATCTGGACTGGTGGAACTAAAGAATGTACAAGTGTGGGCTGAAAATAGGTTATCTATAAATGAGTGATGCTAGAACTGTGAAACCTTGCATGCATTAATTTCAAATCTTTTTATTAATAACTGCATTGTTTCTTTCCAGCTAAAAAGACATCTGATTGTTCAAAGAAGACTGTTCATCCTGTTGGTCAAAAAAGCCATCAACAGCAGATATGGTATCATCATCACTGCGATAGTGGTTCCTGGTCAAGTGTCTTTTCATGTTGGGGAACAGATGATAGTCAAATCAGGAGAATATGGAGAGTGATCAACCAGTTCCAAACTACAGTCACGCCCAACAGCTATTGAAACCAAGGACTTGTGTGTTGGAGTGTTTTCCTGATAAAATAAGAATCTTTTTTGTCAGTTTTCCTGGGTTTTTAGTTGTTGTGACCAAGTAAATGGTCAAGTACACCAGAAGAGTATTACACAACTAGTGAGAGTGTATCGAATGAACTAGCACTCAATCTATTCACAGATCACTATTCACTGTCCCCTAAACCTTCTCTCCTACTAAACTTATAATTGGCGGAAGAGTCTAACGTAGACTCTTTAGAGGGAGGACACCACAACATCAGTCTTGATTGCCTTCTGTAACTGTCTTTGTAAGTTGGCATAGTACTCATCATTGATGGTGTGGTCTTTTTTGCATCCCCAAAAAACAGGCTATCATTATCCCTATAGACAAAACAACCTGGGCCTTCTTTGGAATAAGTGAGTAGGGGTGTTTCTACTACATGAACTGTCTCTTTGTTGCTGGCTTAAAGTGGTGAACCCATTGAACTGCTGAAGTTGATCGGATAGATCAGGTGCAACGATCTCTCTCTTAATTTTGGGAACTGTGTCCATAAACAGTTATTTAAGAGGGTGGGCTGAAAAATTCTGAAATCTTGTATGCATTAATGTCAACTCTTCTAATAACTATTTACATTGTTCGGACTATCATCATCATCTTTGTATTTATCACAACGTTTCGGCCGTTGTACGCTCCGGCCTTCTTCAGGTGGCTGGAATGTCGAACTGAACCCTTTATTTCGCTTGCTGGGATAGACTGTTTTAGTTCCACTTGCCATGTCTAAACGCCGAAACGTTGGGATAAATATGGTGACAAAGATGAGAACAATGTACATAATATCTCATCTCAGAAATATAGACAGATTCTTCTAATAACTGTTTTTTTCTCTTCCATGTAAACTGACAACTGATTATTCAAAGAACACTGTTGATCTTGTTGGTCAAAAAAGCCATCAACAGCAGAGATGACGTCATCATCACTGCAATACTGGCTTCCAGGCAAGTGTCATTTCATGTTGGTAAACAGATGATAGTTAAATCCGGAGAATAGGGTACGTGATCAACCAGTTCTAAAACGCAGTTACACCCATCAGTCAAGGACTTATGTGCTGAACTATTGTCCTGGTGAAACATGACCCCTTTTCGTCAGTTTTCCCGGACAGAAACCTTTGTCATGCCGAGTTCATTGTGCAGAATATCCTCAACTCTCTCAGGATATGCTAACAGCATTGGCCATTTGATTTATAATCAATCGCCTCTCATCGATCACAATGTGTGGTGAACATGATCAATATTTTCCCCTTTGGTGGTAGTTTCTGAACGTCCAGACGCTAAGTCATCTTAAAGAAACTCCATTTTCCTACTAAATTCAGCTACCCACTTTTGCAATGTTCATGAAGCTGGAAGATCATTGCCTAATGTTTCAATCAGATCAGCATGAATGTCCTTGAAACCCTTTTTCTATATGCACTTGATAACACCACGATTCCAAATTGTGTCCATTTTCAAGAGAAATCACTACTTGTTATGTTTGAAGTCTTCTTTAATGTTAGTTTACCTGAGAAGAAACGATGCAGTTATTAATAAGAAGGATTGAAATTACTGCAAGATTGTACAGCTCTAGCATCACATAGTCAGTCTGTGAACTTTTCAGCCCACGGTCGTATTGTTTGTGTTGCACCGGCCTCTAACACAAGGGAATTACACCGATTCTCACTATATATAGTGCCAGTAATACCTACCCGGTGTAAGCAGCGACAGTACTACAACTGCCTAGCTGAGTAGTACCCGTTTCCTACCTTTGTATCTGTGATGTTAAATACACTTGTTCTTTAAACCAACTTCGACTTGATTTTCTTATTTTCACTATTGTGCCACGACACAACAGTTTGGAAGTGGAATCTTTTCAATTTCTTGTACTGAATTTTATTTAATATAATATAATATAATATATATATGCTTTATTCATAAAACAGTTGAAACCTAACCTGAACAAAATAAACTATGGAATCTCCACAAATATTCTTAAATGTCTATAATTTATACCAGAAACCATTGGTTTATACCAATGGCTTCCCATACTTAATACTTCTCGTTTTCGCTTTCGCGTGGTCAGGTGTGACGTCCCGAGCTGCGACGCGATTTTCCCCTCCGCGTCTCATATACACGGGTTTGTCGTTGCTTTGAAATTTTTCAAGCAGCAAGGGCGGACTGTCATTGTTGTTTCGTCCGTGTGTTGTTTGATATATTGTAATTGTCATCTTTGATAATGGCTTGTGGAAGCCGAAAGCTTAGATTGGATTTAAACATGTATCAATATGGTGCTTTCTTTTCGTCTTGTTATAATAATGTTATTAAGCTTATCAGACAATATGAAAGGAACTTACTTAAAATAAATAGACAAAACTTCTCTATATTATTTAATGAAATATGCATTAATATATATATATATTTGTATATGTAATATAACTTTATGTAATATATGTTTACACATTGCAATTATTGCATTCTCAACAACTGTGTGACTTTTTATTTTCTGTACGATAATTTCTGCAATCATGGCAGCAAATAGTATACCCAAATATTATTTGATTTTCAGTTCATTATTTCGCAAATAAGAGAATAAGCTATAAAATGGTTGACACAATTGAAAAGAAACCTGAGCTTTTGGTATGGATCAACTTTCACATTGTACAGTGAAATTTTCAGATCAAAATTCAGCTAATGACGGTTTCAGGCTATGGATATATTGATCCAGCCTCGTTAATAGACGAATGTTTACCTTGAAACCATTATGAAATCGTGTAGATTTGTGAGAGAAAAAAAGTTTTTTTCACGTTTTAAAAATAGAAGTTTGAGTTGCGGAATTTGAGCACAATGTTTTCAATCGAAATTTCCAGAAAAGCTATTCTAGTTGGGATTCTCAAAAAAAGAATACTTTTCAGAGAAATTCAAGCCAGCTAGCTAGCTGCCTCTACTCTCCCCTGTAGGCTATTAGGTCCCCACACTAGATAGATAGATAGATAGATAGATATGAACAGACTAAGATAGATAGATAGATAGATAGATATGAACAGACTGGGAGAGATAGATATGAACAGACTAAGATAGATAGATAGATAGATGGGGAGAGAATAAGATTCTTTTTCTACTTCTTAACCCTTTGAAAGTTATCTAATGCCAGAAAATATTTTTCATTGTAAGAATGTTGGGACGGGGAGATAATAATGATTTCAGTGATATAATTCTTACTAATTAACCCATAGCTGGAGGGGAGAAGAAGTAGATTCATACCTTTTTCAACGGTATTTGTGCGTAAGTGAATTCAACGAGCACAACGGTAATTTGAACTCGGATCGTCGATCAACAATTCCGTGCCATTATCCATTACACCACGCACATAACCAAGCTTACAACAACTGTTATTCCCAAGCGGTCACCCATCTAGATACTGACCAGGCTCGATGTTGCTTAACTTCGGTGATCGTACAGAAACCTGTGTTTCAACCTGATGTGGCCATAAACCGGTTAGAAAGAAAGAAAGAAAGAAAGAAAGAAAGAAAGAAAGAAAGAAAGAAAGAAAGAAAGAAAGAAAGAAAGAAAGAAAGAAAGAAAGAAAGAAAGAAAGAAAGAAAGAAAGAATTGCTCCTTTTAAATATGTAGGTAAAGCGGGAATTTATTTCTTGCAATCGTTTCCGCTGCGCCGGTTACCATGGAAGCGACATCAGGTGAATGATATTTTCCGAAGAATGAAGCGTTCCGATGAGAGAAGGCAGAGTAAGCGGCAAAGACGTAGTGGGAGTCGAATGGAATGGTCAGAGGCAGAAGAAGTCACAGCAGCGACATCAGTTCGGGGAAAAGCCAAATTTTTCCGGAACAAAAGAAAGAGTTCCTTAATCGCGTCGAACTATCATCATCATCAACCACTGTAAACCTAACAATTCGCTATCACCATCATCATCGTAATGATAACAATTAATGAAGCACAGGGTCGTGGCTTGCTCGATAGTGACGTGCTGACTTTGTTCGCATATAAATAAACATGACTGGTTCGATCTCAGCACGGCGCGTGAGCACACGGGTTACAGGCGATTCTTCTTCGACCAAATCCATTCTGAGGAATTCTTTCGTGTTCATATAAAATGCTTAGATAATTAACATATATATAATTATATATATATATATATAATATATAATAGGATAAAAAGTTCAACCGTAGAAAATATCATTTTGGGCTTTTGAGCAGGCATCTGGATTTTAGGTTCTTATATTTTACCTGTGTACTCTATTCTCATAATACACTTGTAAAATCTATGTTATCTTAGAATTAACACGTGGTACAGTCGTCCGAGCTCGTCCTATGTCTTTCTTAGAGTGGAGCCATTCAGCAAATTTTATTCTTTGTGTACCGTGTCCTCGAAATATAAGCGATCATGACTCACCACAGCTTCCTGTATTTTATTACCCCAAACGATATTTTTTATCACTTCACCCCAAGCAAGGTGATAATGCCACTAAGATGCAAGAGGAAGTGAAATAAAAAAAAAATTTACAAGGAACGGAAAACCAAATCCTAAACAGGAAACAAGGGATAAACCTTCACTTCTGTTCAAAAATCTCTGGAGGAGTATGAACCGGGCGAAAAGAGAACACCAATATTTAAATATTTTACTTGAAATAAATGTTTAAGTCGTAAAATTTTTACATTTCTATGAAAATTAATTATCGACGCATCTCCGCTGAAAAAAAAAGTTTTACTAAGATTCCAACACAACACAAACGGGATTGTCTTAAAAATTTGTTTTAAAAACAGTATTTCAGTTTTCGAAAAAAGTTTTCATGGGTTGAAACCTTAAAACATTTTTATTTTTTAACTTTCTAGAAATGTAAAAAGTAGGGACTAGAAATTTTATTTTAATTACTAGCCATGGATTTCTGGTTAGTATTACTATTAGTAAAAAAAATCAGAGATTTTCCTTAGTGGATGATCAAGGAATAAAAAAAATGATTTTACTGAGATGTATTATCCTCTTAATTGATTTAAAAGAACTGTATAGAAAGAAAATTACAATTTTAAAAAATAAGCACCAATGAAATTAGCACTTCTGCCCCTACTCTCCCCTGTAGGCTATGAGTTCCCCACGCGAGTAGTAACTACCGACCACGTCAATTATTATAGTTGATCATTGACAATATAACATTGGTAGAAAAAATTAAAAAGTACAAAAAGCAAAAAAACCCTGTTGAAACTAACCATTCCTGGGCTCCAACCTCGTCGGGGATTCCTGCGTAGTACGCACTGCACTGGCCATGCAGATATACGGTGTATATTATTAGTTCATGACTAATAATGCAACATCAGTTTAAAAATAATTTTAAAAATGGCGGATGGCCATAAAACAATGCTGAAAAAAATGTCAGAGGCCACAACGGAGCCCCAAAAATGCGGTCGGGCGTTTCGGGAATAATACGCGCCTTCGTTTCCACTAACTTTATTCGATTATGTTTTGCCTTTTTATGCGATCTCATGAACTCAGACGAACTGAGTTTATCAAATCAAATTATTTTGAAGTTTTTTAAACATTCGATATTACATGAACTTAATGTGATTTTTAATTTAATTTATTTAAAAAATAATTTTATTGTAATTCTCAGTGCCACATAACGCAACATCCACATGTCATCACAAACATTTAAATTCGAAAATAACACTACATTCAAAAAATTCAAAATACCTAATGTTTCATATTTAAAATAGAGGCACAAAAGTCATCATATTAATTTAATTCTTGACCCAGGTCAATCGGAAAGCCTGGATACTTGATAAACTCTCAGTGCGTGATAATTTCAATCCTACCTAATTTACAGGAATTAATCCTTCAATTATATTAACTCCTTTCGCGGAGTAGACGTGTGTATATATATATATATATATATATATATATATATATATATATATTTTTTACCGAAAGTGTCTTTTTCAGACACAAACGAATAAACACGTCCAAAACATAACGTTAAAAAAAAATAGCAACACACGTCTTTATAGGTCGATCTTAATTCTTTTTATGCCCTTCTGAGCTTGAAACGAATCCAATTGTCAACTCCTACGTTTGGTAGAGGTGTTAGCCACCGCTCGACTACTTTAAAGGCTATCATATTCTTCGGCAATATATTAAAAACAAATAAAAAATAAGTCTGAAAATGAGATGTTTTCCCAAAAAAGAATTGGTGGAAAGGAGGTTAATATATTTTAGAAGAAGCACAATTTATTATATACTTTGCTATTCGGACCACCGGTCTCTACTTGGTTGTTATACTCACAAAGTTTCAGCGCTTCTTCAGGTAAAAATCCATAGATGTAACCGCATGTTCTATTCTATCAGTTTCTTCTCCCGCACTTCTTGTTTGTGGAACTCTCTTCCGGATTCTTGTTTTCCAGTCACCTTTGATCTTCAAAAATTTAAATTCAATGTCAGTAATTATCTTCTGTCTTCTTAATTCCTGTTCTTTTATTGCTCTCTCTCTCTCTCTCTTTAATAATACTTTCTCTCCCCACCATATTCTCTCACACTCAGTAACGCACTGCGTCTTAGTGACTTTATATCCTTAGTTGGTGTGGAATGATTTGTAAAAAAAATGTGTCGGTCTTCATAGTCATTACTTTTCTAGGAATTTCAAATTGAACCGTTTATTCAATCTTGATTACAATTGGGTTTCTGGTTCTTTCTAAAGTCTTCATCAACTCTATACTCCCAACGCTTGTCTTTTCTGATACGAATGCAACTCCACAAAGTAACCCTCTACCTTGAGTGGCTCTAGGGCCTTGTATTAGGTGAACATTAGTTTAAAAAAAAAGTCCATGAGTGTAGATTGTTCTAAATTTCACTTATGCCCGTTTCTTCCAATAGACAAGAGTACTCGACTTTACAACACTTGCAAGGATTGAACTCACAACTGCTATGGAATCATAACATGTTTTAACCACATACTTAACTACACAAGACACTGTGTCATTTGGACAATGTAGGACTGAAATTCTGGAGTCTTAAACCTAATGTTTGCGCTCAGGTAGTGGAATGTTATGTGCATATTATATGGATTAAATGCATATATTTATATTTATATATATTTATATATATATATATATATATATATATATATATATATATATATAATATATATATATATAATACGTTACCAATTAAACTCAGCACAAGTGACTATTTAAGGATGAAATATTTTCGCAGATTTTGACGTCATTCTGGTTTCTTTTTCCTTTTTTTTTTTTTTTGTCCAAATCCGTGAATCTTTTTTGTTCATGCTAAGTCTCGAAAAACACTACAGAAAATTCGCTATTTTTTATCCATAATGTTCAATGTTTTTTAACAGAAAAATCTCAAGTTGATGCTAAAAACTGTTGCTTTATTGAAATTGGAATAATCCGTTATGACATGTCTCTAATTTGTATTTAGATACATTGGAATTATTTTCAATTTTTCTAGTTGAATTGTCCACCTATATTGAATATGACCCATTATTGTACATGATTAGGTTACAATAAAATTTATATTTTATATGAATACGACCTTATGAAAATTGAGAGTGTGGGGGTCTTGTATCATAGATTCGGGAGTATAAGGCTCTTTCAAGTGGCAACATTTTTCTTTCTTAATCAGAATCTCCCAAGTGGTGTTCATCCCTATAATAGATCTTTTGAGGACGACGTCAATATCTAACGCACTCTCTTTCAGTCACCCTAGCCTCTTTAATGTTATTGTTCCTAATCTATGTTGACTTCATTCCACGCGGGGGGGGGATAAGCACCCTTTTTGCTCTACATAGCATCAGACATAACTGATTTTCTTTCCAAGATTCCCCCATCCTTACTTTAAGAAAAGGACTAGTCTCTACTTTCCATTCCTTGCAACGCGTATAATAGCTCCCTATCTAAAATAAATAAAATAAATTCCTATAAAATTAGGCACAATTTTAAGATAAAATAAAAACTTTAAATAAATATAATATATTTTGTAATCATAGCAACCCCATGCAAGGCAGTAAAGCCACTAAGACACAAGGACTAACTGAGTATAGAAGAATAAGAAAAAAGAGAAGCATTATTGAGAAGAAAGAACAAGAAGACAATAGATAACGATTGACATTTCATTTAAATTTTTGAAGATCAAAATTGGCTGGAAAGCATGGAACCAGAAGAGAGTTCCACAAGCGAGAAGTGCGAGAGAAGAAAATGTTAGCATAGAACTTACGGTTGCATCTAACCAATTCAACTGTAAAATGATGAAGTATTGGCGCCAATCTAGTAATTCATAAAATCTAGGTACCACAGTGGAAAGTTCATCAGAACAACTATCATAGATGTATTTATAGAAAAAGGCACAGGGAAGCTACATTACACTGGTGAGAAACTGGCTTAGACCTAAATGCCAGGTTAGGACCAATAATATTGCTGATTCTTTTGATTTTATTAAGAATCTTTAAATATAGAGCAGTAGCACCGG